ACCTGGGAAATTGTTTCCTTGCCTCTAGGAAGGAGTCTCATTGGAACTAAATGGGTTTATAAGGCTAAATTAAAACCAGATGGTAGCCTTGACAGGTGTAAAGCCAGGCTAGTGGCGAAAGGATATAATCAAGTGGCTGGTATTGACTATATTGATAGCTTCTCACCTGTAGCAAAATTAGTGACCATCAGAATGTTCTTTGCTGTTTCTTCAGCAAAGCATTGTCCCATTTTTCAGCTTGATATCAATAATGCATTCTTGCATGGGTTTGTTGACGAGGAAATTTATTTGAAGCCTCCAGAAGGATATAAAACACTTAAGGAAGGACAGGTGTGTAAATTAAAAAGGTCACTTTATGGTTTGAAACAGGCTAGCCGACAATGGAACTCAGAATTTTGCAAACACTTGCATCTTTATGGCTTCACTCAATTAGCTTACGATAATTGTTTGTTCATTCTTCGCTCAGATCATGCTATCACTGTTCTTCTGGTCTATGTAGATGATGTACTTCTCACTGGGACAAATGACTGGGAATTGCAGAAGGTAAAAGAGTTTCTTGACACTACATTCACTATCAAGGATTTGTTCCTTGCTAGATATTTCTTGGGAATAGAAATTGCTCGTTGCCCAGAAGGTCTATATCTCAACCACAGAAAATATGATATGGATATTGTAACTGATGCTGGTTTGATTGGTTCTAAACCTGTGGATATACCACTGCCAAAGGGACATAAGTTCACTGCTGAAGGTGTTCCTTATCACCAACCTGATCAATATAGGAGGTTGGTGGGTCGATTACTTTATCTCAATTTTACCAGACCAGATTTATCTTAGGCTGTTCAGCAGCTCAGCCCGTTCGTCAATTCACCTACTGTCTCGCATTGGGAGTCTGCATTACATTTACTGAAATACATAAAGGGAACTTTATCCAAAGGTCTCTTCTTTCCTTCTTCCAATAGTTTTAAACTAAAAGCTTATTGTGATGCGGATTGGGCTTCTTGTTCAGATTCTAGAAAATCTTTGACTGGTTCTTGCATTTTTTTGGGTGGTACTCTCGTCTCCGGGAAGTTGAAGAAGCAGCAAACAGTTTCCCGGAGTTCTGCTGAAGCTGAATATCGGAGTATGGCTGCAACTGTATGTGAAATTTAGTGGATCGCCTATCTTCTTCATGATTTTTGCATTTCCCCAGTTCTTCCGATTCCTCTTTGGTGTGACAAGCAGGCAGCTCTTCACATTAGTTGCCAATCCGGTCTTCCATGAGAGGACGAAGCATCTGGAAATCGATTGTCATGTGGTTCGTAATCAATACAAGGCTGGTCTCATTCATCCTCAACATATCTCTTCCAACGCTCAAGCTGCAGATATCTTTACAAAGTCTCTTCCATCTCCTCAATTCCAGTTTTTACTTTTCAAGTTGGGCTTGATGGATTTTCATCAATCTCGAACTTGAGGGGGGGATGTACAGATTATTTCTTTAGGGACTTAATTGCTCTTCTTATATAGCTTAGGTCCTTTGTAATAAAGAAATAGTTTGTTGTTTTTGTTCGTTCAAGTTAGTTTCAATTTTCCTTTTTTCCTTGGTCTATAAATAGACCTCCATTGCTGTACCTTGAAAGTGAGTAATGAATAAATTGATGAGCTCTTTTACTTGAACAAACTAACATTGAAGCTGATGATTTGGGTTCAGATAACGTTTTTTGTTTAAATAACAGAGATATGATGCACACTTAAGCTATATTTTTATGCACTAATTTGTTGGGAATTCTTGAATATCTTTTGCAGGTAGGACACCAAATAGTTATTAGCTATGCAAAATGTATGGGGATTCCATTATTTCATAGACGAATTCAAGGATCTACCAGGCAAGCCCTTTAAGAAGGAAGCTTTTGGTATAACCTAATATCTATTTAGTAAACATTGGAAAGCCTTAATATACTTATCGGAGTAATATAATGTAAAATTTTTAATGTCCTTTATCACTCTAAGCAATTTTAAAGAGGAGATGATGGCAGGCAGCTTCCTGTGTTTTTGCCATTTCGCATTTGAATTTGAATTGCTAGGGTTTTATATTCTGGATAAAGGAGAACTTTTCTTTAAGTTGTTTTCAGTTCTAAATGTTGTGGTTGACTGGTTTTATGGAGATACAAGTTTAACCCTATCTTTATTTTGTGTTATTTTCTGCACCCAATTAAATACTTTCTGCACGTGGGAAACTATTAATCTTAGAAGCAAAGCCAATTTCAAGGAGGCCACGTCTTTTGGCATGTTCAGGCAGTGATATTTTTTGAACACTACAAAGAACATGTCCAACAATCTTTGATTCTTTGACTCTATCCCAAACAAGAAAATGTTGGAGTCTGAGTGTTTGACACGTCCTGATCCATGTTAAATTCATAAAAAGACTACTTCAGATCAATACTAAAGTATGTGCCTCATAATTGAAATATCACGTAAGTTATAGGTGAAACATGAAAAGGGAAAATTAACTTGTAATAAATTACACACACACACACACACACACACTATGCTTTGAACAAAACTTTCTTTTTCATTTGGTTGCGTCATGCGTGTAATACAAGCTTTTTACTTTTAGCTATAGAATTTAATGGATGGCTTGAATGGAAATAATATTTGTACCCTCCAGGAATTATTGATTTTAAAATGTTTGGACTAAAAACGTCAAAACTCTATCGTATATTATAAGCTTCATTTTCTATGTCCTCTATATGAACTCAACTCTCACAGCAGTTGAATCCATATATATAAGATAGTAATTCCTCAAGTATTCTTTTTATTAGTTTCTGTTATATCCCTGACAACTTATTAACATGAACATCAAATTTGTAAGTCTTTGAAGACTATATTTGAATAGGTAGTCTGTTTGATATTCACTTTTCAATTTTATTAGTGCACTTTTTCTTTACAATCTATTGTTTTGTGCTTCACGGGCATCAGGGCCTTAGCTACAGCATGACCCCTGGTGATGAAGTTGAAGACATGTTTATCCTCTTAAATGAAGTTAAAAAACAGATACCCTCTGTTTCAGCAGTCTCCTCTGGTGCAATTGCAACTGACTATCAAAGATTGCTCGTGGAAAGTGTATGTTCAAGATTAGGGCTTGTTTCTTTGGCATATCTGTGGAAGCAAGATCAGTCGTTTCTCCTTCAACAAATGGTAAACTTCCTCTTATCATATTGCTTTCCCATGATACTGAAATCTTCAGTATTAACTCATTGTTTCTACTGTCTTGTTATTAGATAAGCAGTGGGATTGTTGCCATCATAGTAAAGGTATAATGCACACTTCTTTTTCCTTTCTTACTGTCTTTGTCCTAAAGAATGCTACATTCTGCAGTTCACTACTCAAATTGATCGTTTGAGTGTTATTTAATACAGTTTAGTTGATAATATTAAGTAACACATGAAGAGTATCAAATCCAAAACAAAATTATTATGTAGAATATTTATGTCTGCAAAAACTGATACATGAATAAAAACATTGTTCCAAAATCTGGTAGGTTAATTTTGTACTGTGGCTTGCTTCAACAATGGGGAGGGAATTTTTTTATGTAATTCTTTTAGAAGTCCCTTGTATTAGTTGGTCTCTAGTACTTTTTGTGAGGTTAAAACCACCGTTTTACACCAAGAAACCGGGCTCAGAGTACCTCCAATCGAACACCACAAGAGAAAACCCAAAACCCCTCACCCTCCAAACGGATGCTCCACCGTATTCTACAGCCCACACAGGAAGTTCTAATGGTGAAGAGAGTTTTGTAACCACAAGCTAGCCACATAGGCGAA